GATATGATCCCTTATCTGATGGACGCGTCATTGATTTGTTCAGAGTTCGACGGAAGCAGCTTTTAAGAGCTACGATTGCTAGTCGGGTTTTGAAGTCATACGCAATAATAGTTTTAGACTTATCCAAGTGGGAGACTGTTGGAATAGTGTCTAAGTCCATAACTATATTTGGTATGTACTTGACCCGATTGGCATGGTCCATTTAGGTTGCATGGCATCATGCATTTGGATAGACTAAAATGAGAGAAATAACACTTAAGGTTTATTGATATATTATAATTTCTAATATATTAATAAGATTATTTAATTAGTATTGATCAAGAATTAATTTGGAATTAATTAAGTGATCAAAAGGAGACTAATTAAATATATGGGTTGATTGTGTAAATCATCCATACTTGTATAGTGGGCTAATGCTCCACGGATTATCAAGTTGGGCTAAAACCCATAGGATGCTCCATGGATGCTCCATGGTGTTTTGTACCCATGGATCATGGAAATGAAAGGCCATGACAATTAGGGTTTACATGGTGTAACCCTAATTGTGACACACTATATAAGCATCTTATTCTTCCCAAAAATCGGCGACTATGAAGGAATGGTGAGGGCTAGCCGATTTCATGAAGTGTCTCATTTCTCTCAAGTTATTCTAAGTGTATTTGGTGTTGTGTGAACCATTTGAGGTGTCACACTTGAGGCACTAGGCTCTTAAGCTCCATAGAATCAAGCTACAACAAATAGGTATGTAATTCTACTAGAATATATATTATATGTTCTTCATATTATGCTAGTTAGAACAATACCTTGGAAAAATTGATATTTGCATGTATAATGAAACATAGATCCAAGGTATTTAGGGTTGCATGTACACTTAGGAGTGTTAGAATACTCAAAACCCTTCAGGAGTAGCTTTTACTCACAAGAACCAAGCCATGGGACCAAAAGCATGAAATTTTCTAAGCTAACCAAGATTTAAGCAAGAGAGTCATAAAGGTTCAAGCTTTATACCTCCCGAAGCTTGCAAAGGTGATGAAAGTTCTGGATCTTCAAGCTTCAAGCTCACCAAGACTTCTCCAATGGATTCCTTCTTATCGAGAACATACAAGAACCACACTAAGTCCTTAAACTCGCACAAATGGGACTAGGGTTTCAAGTTGACAGAATAAGAGAGTGGAGGTTGGAGGTAAGGGAGGTATCAAGGACTGAAGGTCCTTTAATAGAGGTCAAACCCTAAAAATTAGGGTTTTAGGTCAGCTCGAGTACGTCCTGCATACTGCTTGAGGCCCCCGTCCATTTTAATGATGTACGCCCTACGTACACCTCATGTACGCCCAACGTACTACCCACTCTTATTTCCCAGCTCAACTTCAAATAGCCATAACTTCTTCGTTCCAACTTCATTTTTGGTGTTCTTTATATGCACGGAAAGGTGTTGAAGAGCCCCACAGTTATATCTAGATACTTTTGACTTACCACCAACCAAACTAAAACCAAAACCCTCGCAGGAAGCCTGATCTAACTTTCCCTTTCTACCCTTCGGCTCATCATCACACAAATCAAAGGGTTTGGGACTCGCAACCAACATTATTAACCATCAATAAGGCCTAAGCTACCTTCCCTAAAAGCCCAAAACCCTTTTTGTGATCGAATTTGGATCACTACCTCAGATTCAAAAACGATCCGAAACAGGGTGTTACACTAAGAGTCCATTGAGTATGATGATGTTCAGATCTAGGAGTTGGTTGATTATTAGATCCATGCATGAGAATTTTGGTATACACTCTCCATTTTTGGCCTAGAATGGATGGAGGACATGCATGAGGCATGCATGTCCATCAAGTAATCATTTTTATGGACATTTGGAGTCTCCCTTAGCTTCTAGAAAAGTTAGAGTGAAAGAATTTATGGATTAAGGACTCAAATCTTTGGACTTTTGCTTCAAGTTGTAGTCACGACGTGACACTAAGGGTGTCACGACGTGACCACGAAAGACCCGTTTTTGACTTATTTGGGGCTCATGATGTGACAGAGGGATGTTCACGTTGTGAGGACAACCTAAAGGATTGTCCATGACTGAGGGTTTTCCCCTGGCTCAAGTATGCCCTGCGTACTCTAGGTACGCCCACGGGGAAAACCCCGTGTCCAAGCCTTAACAAGGTACACCCTGCGTACCTTAATTACACCCAATATAACTAATATAAATGCACAAATAATTAAAATTTTAGAATTTAAGGGATTTATCTGGGAACCGAGCGTTACAACTGACACTCACCCTCAGAGAGGGAGGGTCAAAGAGGATAGACATGGATGCCACCATCTCTCAACTATCAAAATTACAGCTATAAGATATATTGTGGCATACAATAACACTCATCTTCGAAGAGGTAGGCACGATGAGGATAAACAAGGATGTTTCAAGCCATGGGGGTGCTATACGTCGGCTTTGATACCATGTAAGATATATGTGGAGTCATTGGTTTACTCTCCAAAAGAGCCGATATGGAGAGTTGGAACTCCAACATATATAGACGCTTATATAACAGTGTCGCACCGATATAGGATACACTAACTACATCAATCATATATATATATATATATATATATATATATATATATATATATTATATATATATATATATATATATATATATGGTTAGGTTCATGTGAGACGGCCTAATTTTGTGAGACCGTGAGACCATTTTTTTCTAGTGAAATATTCTACTATTCTAGTATTCATAAAAAAATTAAATATGTTTAATATTCTAATATTATAAAACAATAATTTTAACATATTTTACATTGAAATATTCCAAAACATATAATGTTAGAATATATTTCATATTCTCTTTCTACGAACAATAGAAAATTTAACTAAAAACATTTGGTTTCACGGTCACACAAAATTATGTTGGTCTCAAATGAACTTTTATATATATATATATATATATATATATATATATATATATATATATATATATATATATATAAAAGGTAGTTTTAGGTTTTAAGTTTACTATGAAAATTACAACATGGTGCAAAAATACAAACAAGTGTAAACTATAGGCACGTGTAAGTTTTTTTAACAGTTCATTAGGGTCATAATTTCTGTTTGGTAGAAACTGCACGACTTTATGTTGAGTTAGTGGTTGTGAATTTTTTATCATAGGTGGCAATTTATTTGCACTTAAACAGCTAGCTTGTTTGTATTTAATCAGATTCATAATATAATCAAGTTCAGTAATGTCGTTATATAAAATTTATTAGGCCGGAGGGAATGATGGGCATTCTTATCATACCTTTTTGTCTACCAAATAAGCGTCACGTCGACACTAGATGAAAACTTACCACAAGGTCAAATTTTCTTTCCACGCAAAAGGAATGGACATCATGGCATGCACAATTATTTTTAAAATTTTTTTTAAACAACTCAATTTTAATAAAAGACTTAAATTTCATTACTTTAAATTATAAAAACATTGCATGACTTTAAAAAAAACCCTAAAAACTTAGAAGAAAAAAAACATAACATGATTTTAAAAATATCTAAAACTTAAAAATAAAAAATATAAAAAATAAAAATAAAATAAATAAATAAATAAACTAAATGTTATATTTTGTCCTAATGTCGGCTTTAATCATCTAAGCAATTCACGCTCCTCCCCAGTGTAGTGAGTTTTGTCTTGCATTAAGATTCTCATGTCATTTTCTCTTTCATTCCTACACTCTCTTTCAGTAGCAAAGTGCAAAAATTGGTCCATTCTTTCATTTAGGCCCTTAATCTTCGTCCCCACTACTTTCAAGTCATCTTAATCTACGGATTTGCCATTTCCTTTCTCTTTGTGTTTGCCTTCCGCTTTGTCCGTTATTGGTTATGAAAGTGGTGTGACTTGAACGACATCATCATCATCGTTGTGGTCGATTCCAACATGAGCACCTGATATAGTGTGTTCGGATTTGGATGTTTTTAAGCATTTTGAACCACCATTGATATGTCGGAAAGCCTTGTTTTTTTTTTGTGGTACACTTTTAACGTTTTCTTCAAAATCAAATCATCACTTGCTCTGCTTTGTCATTGACGTTGCATAGTATGCAAATCATTAAACAGCATGATTTTCTTGTTTGCCTTCCCCCATCTGAAGTACACTTGGTCTTTTGTATGAAATTCTCCTTGCTTCATTTCTTTTTGGAACCGTTTAAGAACTTGCCTCCAAAAATAGTCTTTTTTTTTGTCGTTGCACACAATCGGATCCTCATATACATCCACCCATGCATATGTCAATGCCATAACTTCTTCCGGTTTCCAAGGTTTATTTGGTGCTTTCTCTTTTCTTTTAGGTGCTTGGGTGGGTTGAGTTTCCCAAACGAATTTGGGCTCTAATTTGGATTTGACTTGACTTTGGCGAAAAAATTCAGGTTGAGTTTGAGACATATAATCGAAGGGATTAAATTCAGTGTCGAATTGGAATTGTGGTTGTGGTTGTGTATGTGAACATTTTTTTGGGCGTTTTTATGTTTGTGGTATTGTACCACCAAAGTGGTAAACAACCGCAAGTAGATTGATAGATTGAATGAAGAGTTAGGATGTTACTTGCTGGTATTTTTAGGTTTTTGGGTTCTAAGAAGAAGACATTTTTTGAATTCTTGAGATAGAGAGATAGAAGAAGCGCATTGTGGTGTCGGAAGTATTGGTGTTGAAGGTTTTATTTATAAGTATAAAAAATTGAATTTAAAAGAAAAGAAAAAAAACAAATGAGTAAAAAGGAGAGAGACCATTGGTTTGGTGGTACCGAGCATGGCTTAAGCCACATAAGCGGTGTGGTGTTTGTCACGGCTGAGGTGGCAAGCCACAAGACATACTACACCTACACCCTTCGGTCTTATTAGTAAGATGTTATTTGGTTGAGGTTCTAATCATAGTTTGACTTGTTGAATTTATTGCTTGAGAGTTCTATGCATCTAATTCCGTCTTCGATCATTGTAATGTAAATAAGTGCAAGAGAAACCACTTAAAATGAATGGTAGGAAATGAGAAGCATATGTTACAAAGACTAGTTCATTGCTGCATGAACTTTTAACCCTTTCTAGTCACCACAAAGCACAAACCCAAGTTTCTTTCAACTTTTCTTCAAATCGGCAATGAATTCAAACCACCTACTGCAAATGGATTCTTGAAAAAGATAAATCCAATTGCATCTCTTAAACAATAACAAAAGTCCACATCTGTTTCTAATGTCCATTCTCAAATCCCATACTAATTTTGTTGGTAATTTCACCATCAACAAAACTCTGATTATTGCCAATGCTATGGTCAGAGCTAGCACTGCTGCTTGTAGCAAGAGGAGAGTCTGAAGCACTAATGGTGTGGTTTTTCACTGACTCGGATCTCACACTATAAACCGAAGAAGCAGGAATTTTCGTGATCATTGCACGCATATTACCTGGCATGCTTCGCCTAATATCCTGCATCAACAAAAAAAATCCATTAACCTAAGAAAATTAGGCCTCGTTTGTTTATCACACTATACATGACAAAACACGTTGTATACTGCATTTGACATGTATTAGACTGAGACTAAAAGTTCGAAAACAAAAGTCAATGAGAAAAAAAAATTGCAAATTTTTATCCAACCCAAAAATGTGGAATAAGGTGGGAGTAGGGGCTCATTCTTGATCTCTTGTCTATGCAAAAAGACGTAAATGCCCTTCTCATCCTCATTTCCAAAAATAGCCCAAGAAAAGCTTGCCCAGTCTCATGAAACAAACGCAGCCTTAGGCTGCGTTTGTTACTCACAACGCGACAAGACCGGAGAAGCTTTCTTAGGCTATTTTTGGCAATGAGGATGAGAAGGGCATTTGCGTCTTTTTGCACAGACAAGAGATCAAGAACACACCCCTACCCCCACCTTATTCCACATTTTTGGGTCGGATAAAAAATTGCAATTTTTTCTCATTGACTTCGATTTTCAGGCTTTCAATCTCAGTCCAATGCATGACAAACGCAGTAGAACTTGTTTTTCCCTATCCTATGTAATAAACAAAAAAAAGATAATAGAAACATACCAAATGTCTCAATGCCATATCAAACGATTTCTTCGACAATGTTCTCCCAAACCCCGCGTTATCTTGCGACACAGACAACTTCCCGCACGTATTATTCTGATTAACAACACGATCTTCCCTCGGTGGAGCAAGCTTTCTCATGTTTACAACCCTTTCAACCATCTTAGTCCCCATCAAAACCGGGTTGACCTCATCATTTCCATTCGAATACCCTCGATTCTTCATTCCCCCAGTTTTCCCACCATTAGAAACCGGTCCTCTTAAAGGAGACAAAGATGCCCTTTTTGGAATTTGTTTCACATTAGTTTCGGTTAAACCCGGTCTTCCTCTCGATGCTGAAGCCGGCCTTTCGGGCAAAGATTTCTTTATGCTTGGAGGAGGTGGATCACGCGCTTTTGTGACCGAGGTTGACCGGGTTTTGTTGACCGATGAGTTGGTGGGTCGCTGAGTTGGCGTTGAAGATCTCAATGTTGATGATGACTTGGAAGTAGCAGGAATGGAAGGGCGGGTAGTTGGGGTTGAAGATCGTGGAAGTATGGAGGGTCGGGCAGTTGGGGTAGACGAACGGGCAGTTGGGGTAGAAGAACGGGCAGTTGGAGTGGTGGACCGTTTTGAAGGAGGTGGTGGTTTAATGGCGGGAATGGTGGGCCGTGGTGTTGGAGTGGAGGATCTTGATGGTTTTGTTGTTGGAGTGGAGGATCTTGAAACTGTTGAGGGAGGTTTTCTTGATGGTGAAGGTCTTCTAATGGTGGCATTGGAAGATTTTATGGAGGATGATGGAAGTTTGGATGCTACTTTTACTTTAGTTGTTGAAGTAGTATCTAAAGGGGGATTTTCTAGCTACAATGCAATAAAAGAAACATGAAAAAAGAATTATAGAAGTGAATAACAAACTAATAACATACTTTCATTGTTTTGTTTATTTTAACAGCCTACTTTCATTTCTTCCTATAATAAACAAATGAATGAATTACGTTGATAATTCTTGCATTTAACACATAACAACACTATACATTAAAAGTTGACTTACTCTGGACTTTGGAGAAGTAGATTGACCATTAGATATCAGATGTTGACTAGTAAGAGTTTTCTGTTCTTCCATTTCTAACGAAGGTACTGAGTTACGTGGTGGAGAAAGAAGCCTGAGTTCAAAAATTATGAACAGAATCTTGAGTAAAAATAGAAAGTAAAGTAGACTAGAAATGTATATAACATATTACATGAATCAGAGAGATGCTAATGGTACATTTTCTGTTTGTTTATCACAAGAGGGGACATGCCTTTAGATAAAAGAAAACATCAAAGTGGTCCATACTCCATATCTTATCAGAAACAGACAGCAGGTAGTTAAAGAAAGACCATGAGACCCATGACAAAAGCAAACCCATTTCCCTATGGGAACAATGACAAAACAACCAAAGTGCTGTTGTGTTTGTATCTCATGCATTGAAAGTTGTACATTCTCTATATTTGGATTCCTTTCAGCTTATGAGAAAAGAGGAACCCTGAAAAAGTTCTTGAAAATAGCTACAAGTTTAAATTTTGAAGACATACCAATCGTAGTCGGAGGCGTTGTTTTCAGAATTCAATAAATCAACAGCAGCAGGATGATGGACATGTATTATTGTTGATCTTGTTTCTGGCATCATTGGGTTGTCAGATTCAGAGTCTGCAACATGCAGTTAATGTTGTTCATAATTAAACTCTGAACAAAAGTTTTAGGAGAAAAAACTAAGACATTTAATATACCAGTTAATGTACAACTAATATATGCATCAGTGAATTGCATGATAATAGAATTGGTAGTCAGAAAAAGATGATTACGTGGGGACAATTGCCCCACACTTGCTTAGGATTCCTCTATAATGATCAAGATGACGTATCCATGTTACTTATGCAGGGCCCCTGTTGATTGTGCAACTAGTAAAGCTCACAATAAGTAGGGATAACTCCACTTACTAATTCTTATCTATCTTCTAATTGGTACACGAGTTCAAAAGGCATCCAGTTAAATTTGGATGCGACTGAGTTTGATTTTAGCTTATAATCAATATGACTTATAGACTTTTAGAAGCTTTTGATTACCTCGTTAAGCTTTATACTATAAAAGTATAGATAGACTAATGTTTCAATTCAAACTCATAAAAATCATTACAATGGTAGGTTAAAAAGATATCAACTGTTAACAAAAATATATAGCTCAGAATAAGTAGTTATAATCCCACTTACTAATTATCAGGAATCATATCCCAGTGTGTAGGAAAGAATTATAAAACAAAGAAGGCGCAGTTTGAATTCAATCGCATGTTCCAGTAACAAAAATCGATTGAAGTTGTATTCGATTGTGCATAAGTCAAAGCAGATGCAACGCTAAAAGGAAAAATAAAAATGAGATTAATTACTGAATAATTCTTGAAACTGATTCGATTTCTTATGAAGATCGATATTCAGATTTGCTCCATTGAAATCGACGAACAACGACAGATCATCACCCTTCTCCTTAGTCTCTCCACAGCTCATCTCCTCTTCTCTACACTGAACAGACGCCTGCAAAAATTCAATAAAAATGCAATCTAAATCACGAAAAAACAGACATGCTGCAAAGTCAGATCTAAATCGGACATCACGAACTACTGTATACAAATCTCCTTTTTCGCTTGCTCACATTCTACAGTATCAAAAATAGCTGAAGCTGAACAAAGATGAAGATTAGAAGTACTTACAGCCATCTTATTTCTGAACAAGCTGGAGATTTTCAGCGAATCTGAGTGAGATTGTTCGATTTGGTACAAATCTTAATTTTTGTCGAGTAATGACAGATTGAGACGCGATGGAAGAACACGCGATATTCGTGAACCAGATAAGCGGTTTGGATTTGATTCCTTTCACACACAAATACACACACTTCTCTCACACCGACGCTCTCATGCCATGTGGACTGGTTTTAATATATACTCCCTCAACGGGGGAAGACGAACAACCACTCCGGAATTTGAATTCAATTTCTCTGTATGCTGTGCTGCTGACTCACTACTGGATTGCATTTAAATTTAAAAGATTAATTGACGCTAAACCCTAAAAAATCATTAATATAAGCTTTTCATTGAACAACTACATTACAACGTACAAAGGTTTGAACATTCAACAAAGGGACTACCAATTAAAATTTAAAATACTAAAAATACAAGTTATGTTTCATATTATCGAACATATTAAACTTTTGTTATTTTTTTATTTGATTACTAAACTTATTTTCTTGTGCAATAAATCATTAAACTCGTTATTTACCTTACAATTAAACCATTATGCTCGATTTTCAAAGGGTTGCCCGCTTACCATTCGTATATGGAAAACCGACGTTTCAAAGATGCTTATGTGGACCACCTACGTGGACGAATCGCGTGTTAAAGAAGTTGAATTCTTTTTTACCTTCCTTGTGTAAACTCAAGAGCTTCCGTCAAACCCTCTTCAAGAACAATGTCTTCTTCCAACTCGTTGACCACAAGGAACCGGGTACCATTTGCTCGCACTCATATACGTGATGGGGTGAAGATCTGTGATTGTGATGTTCCAGTTATGGAACGAACCTGATGGCGCCTTACAACCCTCGGGAGGCGATTTTGGAATTGATGAAATAGTATGGTAAGCTATGATCTCGTTACATTTCATAGTGCAAGAAGTTAAGTGTTTTAATCTCGTATTTTGGTTTTGAAAACCTTTTTCTTACGATGAAAAACCCTTTTTTATATAATATGTTCATTTTGGTTTGCTTTTGGTAGATGTTCTTCGTTGATAACAATTATTGACGAAACTATTTGATAACATATACCTTTTCGATTATGTTAGATATTAGTGGTTGGTTAATATTGCATTTTATTAAAGATAGTTATCTATCTGATAACTTATGCATTTTCGATTATGCAAGAAAGTTTTGTGTATCGTATGGTTAATCTCGTATGTTGTAATCTATCATGTTGATCATTATGGTGGAAATGTGGATTGATTACATACTAGGCTAAAGAAATGCAGGTATTTTGAATGGAAAGATGATGAATAGGAAGAAGGGTACTACAAAACCCTTTTTTATTCTCTAAAGCAGAAGCTGGATGCCAAGGATGATCATTCTGAGATGAAGACGTTCAGGAAAAAGCGTAGTTGAGTTGGCGTTTTACATTTCTAAGGAGATGGTTGTGGTGGAGAAAATTGAGGAGTTATGTTATTACAAGAAGAAAGCAGCTAGGTTCAAGGTTGTGGTTGTAAGTTTGATGCTTTATTTGATGTTTTGTGTGTGTGTGTATCATGGAAGTAAGGTAGAATGTTAATGAAATAAGTTAGAATGTTGGGGTAGGGGTTTTTGGTGTATGTATTAGGCTTAGATTATGGTTGATTATGTATTATTTTAACCTTCTTTTGTCAACCTTTTTAGATATATAAGTAGTTTGTATACTGCTAAGTCCTAAACATCATCCTAATTAGTTTTAAGAGCTTTTCCCTTTAAATTTCTTGTAGCATCATCACCACCTACTTTCTTACCCAATTCTAACTTCAAGATTCTCTTTGACTTTATTTTCCTTATCCTTATAGAATTTTCAGAAATAGGTCTTGCTTTTATCTCCACTTGAACTTGGACATTATTTCACCTCTACTTATAGTAACTTGTACATCACCAAACTCCTCTTCTATATCCATATCACCAAATCCTCTTTTATTTCCACACCACTAGCTTTCACATTAGTTGGAGTAGCTTGCACGTTAGTTTGAGTAGCTTGCACCTCAATTGGAGTGAGTTGCACCTTCTCATGTTGTTGGCCTACTGCAACCTCTTTATTCCCATTGACCTACATAACATGATAGAATAATGTTAGTGGCAGATCATATTCAAGTACATTTCAAATATTTCAAAGGTTATTACATGTCCAACATCTTGGTTGACACCAACTCTTTGTTTTTTCTCATATTTAACTTTTAGGGTCTTCCCAAAGGACAAGTATCCTTGTTGTGATATGTCTCCTTACATATACTACAGTTCACTTTTTTTACAGCCTTATAGACCTTGTGGCTTACATAAGTTTCTATAGCATCTCTCTTCCTATTAATAGCAGATGGGTCAGGCATCCATTTATTAACAGGAAGCAATTGTGGTCTATATTCTATCTCTGGCCACATGTCACTCTCATTCATGGCTTCAATCTTGTACTTGTAAGACTTCATATATGTAATGGTTTTAAACATCTTGTCGACATATACTTCAACATCCCTATTTAGATAAGAAATACAAGTTATAAAATAAACACATCCATAACCATTCAATGCCACAACCTACAAGAACATGTTTTTCTTTCAAGGTCAACATCATATGCCTCAGCTAATCCCCTTACCTCAAAATAGTTTAATTAACTGGGTAGTATCTTGTTAAAACGTTGTTGTTGTCGTCTTAAACAAATAATAAATTCACTAATTGGTTGCACTAATGGGTACCACAGGGAATCATGTTTGAATCCTCGGGGACACAACCTAATGGTCAATGCCTCTTTGGCTACGGCACACACTAGTAAAAAATAATAAATAAAGAAAATGAGGGGTTTTGTTTAGAATTAAAACTAAAAATAGCAGTAAAAATAAATTTAAGAAAATTCAATAATAAAAAGTGAATTCAGTTCTACTATGTCTTTCCTAATCATGCAATTAACTCAAACTTGGTTATTTAAGGTGTGTTCTATCTAATTTGGTACTGAAAACTACTAACAAACTCTAGTAAGTTCTTTTTTACCTACTTAATTAACCAAACAAGCTCTTAAGTTAATCCTAACTTTTTACTAACCTGATTAAACAAGCTCTTAATCAAGTCAGAAAAGCAACATTATAATTTGTGTAAAATTCCTAGCAATATTCAATACTTCTCACAAGCTCGTAAGCGTAAAAATATGAAATTTCAATGTATAACAAAGTTAAATCCCAACACGGAACCGATCTATTACTTGTTACTTATTACTAGTTTATCAAAACAATTACGGATTTAAACAACTAATTAACTAGATTGATTTAATCCTAAATTAGGTGATCAGGCTAAAATGAACTAAAATCAAATATTCATTATGTACAAAACTGAAATAACAAAATAGAATCACACAATAAAAAATCAAGTCTAATGATCAACTACATAAAAAGTACAAATCTGTAAGGTCACACCTTATGATCTGATGAGTCAAACACTTTATACGCTGACCACCAGTGTCAGCGTCAGCAGCAGCGCCAGCACCTCAAGACATTATTAGCGTCAACGTGAAGATAATGGTCTTATGTAATCCTTGTATATTAGGAAGTTATACGGATATGTATAGAATAGATATATGATCCTTAATCTTGGTGATGAGGATCAGATTTTTAATTAGAATAGGTATACATCCCTTAATTAGTGGCATGTTTGTTATGTAATCGCATATAATCAACATTAGGGTGAAACCCTAATGTAAGTCTTGGTGACCGTCTTTGTGACCTTCATTCTCTTGGTGAGAGCACCCCTTTCTTGGTGAAAGACATCTTTGTGATTACTCGTGCTCTTTATTTTTCTGCTCGATCTTTGTTTGGCTAGTTTGTTCTTTGTTAACTATACTTGAAGTGTATTCGATCGATACAGACCTTCAATTGGTATTAGAGCGGGTTTTTGATACACATAAGTTATCATGTCGACCTCCTATAATCCCAAATCATCTGCTCTCAACAAGATCCCTCCTTTCGATGAGCACAACTTCACCATGCGGAAAACTAAGTTTATGGTCGTTCTTGAAACCATGGACTATGAGATGTTTAAGATTGTTGAAAAAGGTCCATGCGTTCCTATGCATCAACCTATGGTTAACAACGCTCCCATTGGTCCCTTGAAGCAAAAGCCAAAGTCTAGTTATGAAGATGATAACAAGAGACTTATTAGCCTTAATGTGAAAGCTAGAGCAACCATAGGAAACTCTATTCCCTATCACGTGTATCATCTAGTACAGAATTGTGAGTCACGTCAAGTGATGATGGAGACGTTGAAGGTGGCTTATGAAGGCAATGTGGAAGTTCAATCTATAACCATCAACAACCTCAATCGGAGATACGAGCATTTTTTTCGCTCAGCAAGGTGAATCTCTAACTCAAACCCTTAACATGTTTAATTGTTTGGTGAATAATATGAGCAGGTTCGAAGTCGTCAAACACTTTTCTTAGTTAGTTTTAAAATTCTTGGATTCTCTTGGAAAAAGCTGGGAACATCACGTTGATGTTCTTAAAAACAGTGAGAAGATTAATCTCATAGATCTCAACTCCTTGTTTGGAAATCTACAAAATTACGAAGAGACTAAAGCTCTTCGTAAAGACATCATTAAGGACTCAAGCAAAGAAAAGTCAATAGCTTTGGTTTCTCGGAAGGAAGCAATGAATCTCATCAGAAACTCAGATGACTCTGATCAGGTTGAAGCGAGTAGTGAAGAAATTACCGATGAACTTTTTGCCTGCCTTGTACTTATTGTCAAATGTTACGAAGAAAGCATATCAAATAGAGTTCGAAGAGCTCAGTTTAAGGGAGGCAGTTCAACAAGGAGATCTACTTCATAGAAAAGAACTCGTGTAACTATTTTAACTGTAGGAGCCCTGACCATTTTTCCAGGGACTGCAAAGAGAAGAAAGAAGCTCAAAGCCTAGAGAGTTATGAAGTATTGTACAAGAAGTTGTTGGCCTACATGAAGAAGGAGAACATCTATCTGCCAAAAGCCTTCGTTGCAAAGCAAGAGGATCATGAAGAATGGGTGGAAGAAGAGGAAAGATCTGAAGATAATGGACTAAATGTCAAGGGTCTTATGGCTCTTATATCAATAATTCCCCTGATGGTGATCTCAATATGTGTGATACTGATACCTCTCAAGCTGTTCAAGAGTCGAGTCAGAATATAGAACATACTTGGTTCCTTGACGGTGGGTGCTCTAGACACATGATCGGTCTTAAGTCCCTGTTACCAGATTTTATGGAGAAATATAGTCTGATTGTATTTTTTGGTAACAACAAT